GTGTAAGAGCCTCGTCTCCTCCTTCAAGCCTCGTCTAATCCTTTAAGCTTTTATCCATTCCCATTTTTCTCTGCCATTTCATGAGTTTCGTTGCAAAAGACCGTTTCCCCTAAATCTGAGATTGGGAAACCCTTGCCCCAAAATCGTCATCTCCTCCATCAAGCTTTTATCCGTTCCCATACCGAGAAGAAGTAGCCAAATCAAAAGTTTCCCCGAAATCTGAGATTGTGTAACCCTATCCCCAAAATTATCACTCATTTTGCATGTTTTCAGTCCTCGGCCAAAACGGGGAAATTCACTCTGAACCGTTTTGTTCGGTGACCTCCTTGGGCATCCTTCCTAGGTCAATGTAGGAGGAACCGATCTCGACCTAGTGCTCTTCAGTGACAACGTCAAAGCTCATTCCCCTGGCATTGTCGTCGCCGGTACCTTAAACACGGTAATTCCTCGTCGCGTTTTGGGAATCTCTAAGCTGCTCAATGTACTCTTCTGTAGGCTCAAACTCGGTAAGTACATAAATCCTTACATTTATTTTCTCAGCGTGTTATGTTATGGTTTGGATCTACTTCCATAAACTCAGGGATTGCAGACATTGATTTTTGAGTGTACATATGTGATATGACATAAACATGTTGGTTACTATGGTTTGGTTTTGTTTAAGGGATGAATGTGTGGAGTTGTGTTAAAATGGTAGGAAACCGAAGTTCTTTCCTTTACTAAGCAAGTTCATTTTTGCTTTCTAGCGAAAGAAAACAAAAGAACCCCTTTTTAATGTTTCTGTTGTTCTATTGTTCTGAATAACCTATGATTAAGCTTCACGTAAGAATAAAAGCTTCACGGTAAGTAGCACTTGTGATCAACCATGTAAGAACAAAAGCCACATAGGTTCATAACATATAAGTAATGTATTTCCTGTGTTAACACCAAACCATGAGTCTAAAAAGGCTATCTAATTCTAACCCGAGCCAAAAAACAAGCTGCTCATATGTGCATTTCCTTATTGTGAGTCCACATAGTAATGTTTTCTTGTTTTGCTTATTTGTTTTAGGTGAACCCACTGCTAAGTGCTAGTTCATCTAAATTATTCTTTTATGCGCATATAGGATATGGTTGTGATGCTTAATATGTGTCTAATGGCCTTGCTCTTTATGTCGAGTGATATTCGATGGCGTGACAATTATCAGTTGCCGGTTTATAATGTCACTATGGCATATTCGTACTATGGTAAGTTGAATATCGGTCGGGGCTAACTGCCATAGTGTGCTTATAAACACTGGTAGCATAGTTGTCATTCCCTAGGATAATGCTCCATAAGTGGGCGATGCAGGCCATTACACATTCCTGAGCCTATTTGATTACAACTTCTTTCATTACATGATTTTTGCTTCAAATGTACATATGTATTGTGGCTGGATTGGATTTCACCACTAAATAGATGGCAAGAAGGATGGATAGAGATGTCAATTGGAGCCCCGAAGTAGAGGTGGGGTTGCTTCGGCGGCTAGGTGACTTTAATTTAGCCCACTCGTCCGGTACCGCACCAAACCGAGACAAATATGCTAAATGGGCAACCGAACTAAGTGAGCATTTTATCGTCCCCCTAACTTGGGATAAAGTGAAACAAAAAGCTGGTAGACTGAAGAAAACGTTTGATGCTGAGTTTCTAATTTGTACTGCCACCGGACTTGGTTAGGATCCGATTTAGAAGAAACCCACCTACAATGACAAACATTGGCAACAATTTATCAGTGTAAGTTTGATACTTGATTGATTTTTAGATGTCTTATAATTAATGCAGTCCGCTTTGTTTCATTGAATATTTTGTAACCAACAAACTGACACCCTGTGGGACTTTCATATATACATATGCTGGTTGCCTAACCCATGAGTCTCTTTCTCATTTAACTTTAATATTTGTTTATGGGTTTACAGAGCCATCCCGAGGTTGAAAGGGCAAGGAGGAAGTCCTTGTTGGATTACGATTTGTATTATTGCGCGTTCGCCAATTCACGGGCAACTGGGGCCTTTGAGTATGGTCAGGAGGATACTCCACCACAACGTTGTTCCGACAACCCCATTGACATTGAAAGAAGACCACCAAGTTTCAATGACGGTGAGGATTTTCCTTTTAGAGATAGGAGGCAAGGCATGAACAGAGAAAACCGTGCACCACGTGTCGCCTCCCCATCACGATTCATACGTAAACGGTCAAGGCGAAACTCTTGTAGAGTCTCACCGACCTTTATGGAGCATGTCGTGGATCGCCTCGTAAGTTTGATAGAAACAAGTAGTCAGACTTGAGGTATAAATGCATCTGCGAATATGTCCGTTCAAATTGAAAACATTGAGGATCAATGCATTGATTTATTAGAAACGTTGCAAATACCCCAAGATCAGTACCTCTTCATGTTCAACTTTATGACTTCGAATCCTAGACTTCAACGGCCATTCCTTCATATGCCAGAACACCATCGGCTTGCGTGGATTCAGCATACTATGGAGCAGTGTGCAAATCAATAAGTTCCTCCTCCGCCACCACAACAAATGCCTATCCCTTCGTTATTTCAGTTGAACGTACAACCGAACCCTGCACCCACCTACACATTCCAGCAAACCACTTTAAATTTTCAACCGTATGTGCCACCGTTTTCAAGGCCACCATTTCCAATGTCACATGGAGGGGATGGTTCTTCGCAACTATGATGGTGGCGGCAGACTTGGTTGACAATCCTAGATTACATTGACTTGTTACGAACTTAAAAAGACTTGTTATTATTGATTCGTTTATGGTTTTATTTCCTTCATTGTTTGTTGTTATTAGTACTGATAGAGGAATTTTTATTAGGTTGTGTCCATTTTATAGGACCACATGTAAGCATATCTAATTTGAGGACAATGTTGTTGCTTTATGTAAACTGATTTTCTCCAAAAGTTGTTTTATATGTAGTTTCAATTATGCATATGATTTGCAGTATTTAACTTTATGCTTCATTAGTTGGAAAATTTGGCGGGGATGGATATATGTGGAAATTCAAACCCAATGGTTTTTAATGAATCAGACTATGGCAATGATGATGATTTTTTCATGCAAGTGCTAGTTGCAACGACTTTATTATGTGTTGGATTTGTGTACAGAGAACCTTCTCGCCGAAGGCACACTTCAGGTTGAGAAGGTGCAGTTAGAGTGAATTATTATCTGGAACGCAGTCCAACAATGATGTATGACAAAGTCCATATCAGTAGTGATGCATTCTTGCGTCTAAGTTATATCCTTGAGGAGCGGGGCTTATTGCAACCGACTGTCCACCTAAATGTTGACGAGCAATTATTCATATTCCTAACTATATTATGTCAGAACCAAACTAACAGGGAGGCGCATGACCATTGGCAGCGATCTGGATCAACGGTGTCAAAGTACTTCACCAAAGTTCTTGAGGCAGTATGCACATTGAAGAATGACTTCATTAGACATCCAAATTTTCAAACTGTTCACCCGCACATAATTGCTAGTGGAAACAAATACTCACCGTGGTTTGATGTAAGTTCAATATTCTACATTAATTAGCCACATCTAAATTTTAATGTAGTTTATAATGCTTTCTAAAAATTATTACGTTATATAATATAACCAACAAAACTCTTGTAAACATGAAGGATTGTGTTGAAGCACTTGACGGTACTCACGTCTCATGTGTTCTCCCTCGTGAAACTGCTGAACTTTACAGAAATAGGAAGGGGTTCTTTTCACTAAATGTGCTTGCGGTGTGCTCATTTGATATGAAATTTATGTACATGTTAGCTAGATGGGAGGGTTCGGCACACGATGCAAGAGTACTCGCATCCGTCTTAGATACCCCAATCAAAAGATTTCTGACACCGCCACCAGGTTAGAGAGCAACGATTTTTTTATGTGTACAATGACATTCCAAATACTTCATCTGTACGATTATTTGTTAATTATTATACGTATACGTGTAGGAAAATTTTACCTCGTCGACTCAGGTTACGCTAACAACAGATGCTTCATGGCACCCTATCAGGGGACAACATACCACTTGCAAGAGTATAAGAATCACCATGAAAGAGGTTTCCATAGTGAACGTGAGCTGTTCAGCTACACCCACTCCTTATTGTGTAATGTCATTGAAAGAACATTTGGTGTATGGAATGCTAGATTTCGTATTTTGAAAACCATTAACCGTTACCCCATGACCAAACAAGCTATGATTCCAGTATCGTGTGCTATAATACATAATTTTATCCATATGCATCGTAATGGGGACAACCTTTTAGAGCAGTACTCACAAGATGACGTTCTAGTTGCGAACATTGATCCACAGAATGTTGATGAGGACATCAATGACAATACTAACCATAAGGGTCAACCATTGGATTATAATGCAGAAGTGGAGATAAATGCTTTAAGGGATGCAAGGGCGCATACAATGTGGGCAGTGTACCGGCACCGTCGTGTGCGTTAATAGTCCTCTTTCATAAGACGTTAATGTGCTACGATATGATATTATATGGTGTATATATACTTATGTTATAATTTATGTATTTATTGTTGTCTTTTTGAACTTAATTATAATGAAAACTGATCTTCTACTATTTATTTTTATTATATTTTTTTGTAATTATTTATTTTTTAAAATTACTAAATTACCTATTATTCATAATTATTTACAAATAATTCCAATTATTCATATTCAATTACAAAAAATTGAATAAATTCAAAAAAGAAAAAAATTGCAAAAGAATTGAATAAAATGGAAAAATAAAAAAAAAATGCTATCTATTATTCACAACTCAAGTCTTACCACAAATAAACACAAATTTAAAATTTTTTTATCTTAAATCATAATTTAAATGTACATAATTAAACACAAATTCAAATTATAACTTTAATTTAAATTATAATTTAAACTCAATTCAAAATCTTAACTCAAGAATGCTATTAAAAGAACAACCCAATAGTTAGGACGTAGGAGACAGAAAGTGATGAGAGAGCAAGAGTGATGAGAGAGTAAAAAAAAAAATAGAGCAAGTGAAATTTTTATTTTTTTTTAATTTTTTTTCCTACCTAGTTTTTCTTCAGTTCCAAACACGAGACAAAATTTCTCTTTTCCCTTCCTCTTTTCTTTTCTTTTTTTTTTTTTCCTTTGAACTTTCTTTCATATTTTTTTCCATCCTAAAATCTAGGTTCCAAACATTGCCAAAGAAGCAGATGGGGAATTTGTTCGTCAAGAAGCCCAAGATCACTGACGTAGATCGTGCTATTCTTACCCTCAAAACACAGAGACGCAAGCTTGCTCAATATCAACAACAGGTCTAATATATTCTTTTCCCTGCTATTTTTTTTAAAAAAGATTTTTGATTCAAAATTGAAGAAAATATGCAAATTCTGACCCTGATCTCTTTTGGGTAATACTTAAAATAGAAATTGTAATTGGTGGAGTTTTAAAATTAAATTGAAGTTTGCACATTTATTAGACAAGAAAAGCAATTTAGCTGATTTCTAGTTTTAGGAATTAAAATACAACATTTTCATACATTTTCTCATTATAAACTATTATGTTTATTCCGCTTTAATATTTTGTAGAAATGATGACAACATTGGTGCTTTTCTCGGCTGAAAATGATGTTTACTGTATGATTGCTTGTGAAGATTACATACAGCTATAAATGCTTAAAAATGATTTCTTGAGAAATAGAAGGGTCATAAAAAGCTGATCATATTTCTTTTGTGTTCCTTGTTTAGTGGAATAAACATAATAGGGTTTTGAACAGTCTCAAATTGTATGAAAAGTTTGTTTTCCCTTGAGGATTAGGCATTAGATTGGCTTTTTAGCTTTTGGAAAAAGGTTAACATGTGTTAATGCTGCAAATGAGAAGTTCTAGGATTCGTAATCGTCATGATGCATTGTCAGCAATAATCGTGAAAGTACAGGATATTGGTTTCTTTGTTGCATTTGTATAAATTGTTTTGTTCCTCAATAGTGCTTTCTGATGTTTATTCAGAGGCTAAAAGGCTTTTCGAGGAATAAGTAGCAGAAGATTTTTCTGCAGGTGTGCCGTCGTTGAATTATTTTTGGTCATTTGCCTAGAGAGAAGTGGAATAATGTTTAAATACAGATATGACGATGAGCCCTCTCTTCTGGATTGTATTAGATTTTTTGGCTTCTATATGGGCCCCTATGTTAAAGGAATTCAATGTAACACCTTTCCGATGTTTCATTTTGAGTTAGAGGGATGTGGTATGAGATTAATTATGGTGGTTGGAGATGTTGAAAGCCGGGGTTTCCAGGAATCAGATATTGCTTTGTTTTGAATCTTTTCAGGATTGTTGGTCAGATGTTTGATTCTTTTGTGTGTTTTTTATTTTTGGAGAATTGCTCATCCAATCATCCTCTTGTTTTGTGGTTTTTTTGGGTATTAGAATAAATAGAAAAACTTGAGGGGATTGTTGACTAGATTCAACAGACTGGAAAAGAAGGTATTATGGAGTCCTAACTTGTAAATGATACTACTCCTTTAGTTTTGTAAATCATTATACTAGATTAATTCTCACTTTGGAGTAGAATGATCTCGAGGCATGTTGAGTAGTTGGTTTGTCTCTTAGGGTTTAAATGTTTTTGCCAAGAATATATCTCAGAGGGTGAGTTTGGGGGATAGGATTTTGTTTTGGAAAGATGTATGATGCAGGAATAAATAGAAAACCTTGAGGGGATTGTTGACTAGATTCAACAGACTGGAAAAGAAGGTATTATGGAGCCCTAACTTGTAAATGATACTACTCCTTTAGTTTTGTAAATCATTATACTAGATTAATTCTCACTTTGGAGTAGAATGATCTCGAGGCATGTTGAGTAGTTGGTTTTTCTCTTCGGGTTTAAATGTTTTTGCTAAGAATATATCTCAGAGGGTGAGTTTGGGGGATAGGATTTTGTTTTGGAAAGATGTATGATGCAGGAATCAATCCTTTGAGTCTTCCTTTCCTAGACTTTTTCGACTTTCGACTTTCCGCTTTCCCTAATGCTTTCATTGTTGAAATTTCTTCCAGGGATAGTAAAGTTAAATTGGAAGTTTTGTAAGAGGGGGTTTAAATGATGGGGAGGAGGAGGAGGAAGTGCATTCTTTACTTCATTGCCTCATTTCTTTTTTGCCAAACTCGTCGATACCAGATCGTAGGGTGTGGGTGTGTGACGCTTTGGATTCTCGTGCAAGTCTTTTTTTGTCTCCCTTGTTGAAAACAATTTCCGTTTCATTTAGAAATGTTGTGTTCCCTATAGGATTAAAGTTTTTTCATGGCTGGGTTTTCATAGTAAATTAAATACTTATGACATGGTTCAGAGGAGGGGTCCACATTTGACTGTCACTGTCCTGGTGCATTATGTGTAGAGAAGAGGGTGAATCATTAGACCATTTATTGCTTCCTTGTAAGGTATCAAGGGAGCTACGACAGAGGTTGCTGATTGAAGCTGTATTCCTTTGGGCATTCCCAACACATTGTTTATCGCCGATGGTGGAGAATATGGTGGGATTCGGGTCTAATAAAATGGTAAAAACCCTTTGGAGGTGTATTGTACTCTCATTATCTTGGAAAATTTGGATGGAGAGGCATTCAAAATTTTTGAGGAATAGGAAATGGGGACAAAAGACATTTTTGGAAAGGCTAAATTCTTAGCCTCCTTGTAGGCTTTTAAGGATATCCCATTCCAATTGATCATTTTAAATTGGAAAGATGTGATGGGAAGATCGCTAGTCTGGGTGTCTTAGGTCTAAGTTGATTTCATTGTTTTTAAGGTGTGGTTTTTGTTTTTATTTTTTCCTGTTGTTGTTGTGTTTTTTGTTGTTGCTTGAGGATCTCTCATCTCTTGTTCTTGTTATTGATTGAATTATCAATGAAAGGGTTTTTCTTAGACACACACACACACACACACACAAATGAAGTCGATTTGTCTGTTTCACTGCTGAAACATGTGCTTAAGGATTGGACTTGTCACAAATCTTGAGGACTGGTCTCACTCTCAGAAAAATGTTTTTTAATCAATAAGGTTTCTACTTGTTTGTGATAAACTTTTTCCAGCTTGATGCTGTCATTGAAGCTGAAAAGCAAGCTGCGAGAGACTTGATCCGTGAAAAGAAAAAGGACAGAGCGTTGTTAGCATTAAAAAAGAAAAAAGCACAAGAAGAATTATTGAAGAAAGTTGATGCTTGGGTCATCAATGTTGAGCAACAGGTGAGCAATCATTTTCAGTGTAGTTACTTTCTCTATTTCATATATAATTTGTGATGTCTTTATAACTGACGTGAGAAGTTTTATTTATGTATTTATTTTTAACTTCATATTAAGAAATGGCTTTCGCATTTGATATGATGTTCCCTCCTCTTAAGTTTTGTTTTTCTTTGTTTAAGACGAATTCTCTTATATACATTTTGGTTTAGTTGGCAGATATAGAACTCGCAAGCAAGCAAAAGGCTGTGTTTGAGAGTTTGAAAGCTGGTAACGAGGCAATGAAAGCTTTACAAAGTGAGATCAATATTGAGGATGTTCAAAAATTAATGGATGATACTGCTGAAGCTAAAGCTTACCAAGATGTGAGATTGATTTATTCCTTCATCTCTTTATCTTCTTAACCATCTTTACTAAAGGAGAATAAGTTTCTTATTGCTCTTAACAAGACGTTTCATTAATTTTTTTTTTCTAGTTCATTCTTGCTTTTTTTCAGTCTTTTCCCTTCTGCAGGCTCTGCTTTTTTTTTTCTTTCTTTTCTCCTGAGAGCTTGAATATGTGATATAGGAGTTCCTTTCTTCTCTCTTCATCCCCTTCTCTCATTTGGCACTCTCTCCCCCATAAAACACTGTAGCAATGTCTTAACAAGACGTTTCATTAATTTTTTTTTTCTAGTTCATTCTTGCTTTTTTTCAGTCTTTTCCCTTCTGCAGGCTCTGCTTTTTTTTTTCTTTCTTTTCTCCTGAGAGCTTGAATATGTGATATAGGAGTTCCTTTCTTCTCTCTTCATCCCCTTCTCTCATTTGGCACTCTCTCCCCCATAAAACACTGTAGCAATGTCTCTCTCTCTCTCTTCCCAATACTCTCTCCTCTCTCTCTCTCTTCTAATATAACACTATAGCAGTAATTTCACTACCAAATACTTTATGTGCCCCAGTATAGTAAGCCCCATTTGTTTCACTAGTTTAGTTCAATTCAACTCAATTCGAATAGTGTGAACAATTTGAACTCATGTTTAGTAAGCATGCAGTTCCAATTATATTTCCCGTTTGAATTGAGTTATACTGTCCAACTTAGAGTTTAATTCTCCCCTTAAGTTCAACCATCCAGACCATTTTTAAACAGTAAAAGGGTGCTTACTCTCTGTTTTTCACACCTATCAAACACAAATTCGAATTTTATTCCCTGTTCAAATTAAAATTTTAAGTGCACATCCAAACACCAATTAGAACTATAATTCATTGCACTGTTTGAATTTTTTTGTTCAAATAAAAAAGTTCAAACCAACAAAATTCAAACTAGTGAACCAAACGGGGGCTAAGTTACTCTGACCGTTCCCTTGTACAAGACTATTGCAGTAATATTATCTGTATTTATGTGTTCCATTTGTCAAATTAAACATTTGGGCCCTTTTGTGCAATTGTCTATGATCTGCAAAAGCACAGCAAAGAGATTCTAAAGCTTCCATCGTTTCACTCATTTGAGTTAAGAACTTGAGTTAAAAAGTGAATTCATCTAAGAGAAAACACTGTAGTAAAAACTTGAGTTGTGATTTGAACTAACGAAACAAATGAGGCCTAAAATATTTATTTCTATTGGATTTCTACCATTTGGCACGGTCCTGTCCTGCCCCTTGTTTTTCAATCAATCTTAACTTTTCTTCTCCTAAGGATATTTATTTCACCCCCAATCGCAGTATATATGTATGTATGTGTATATATATATATATATATATGCATACATAAATGTATATGTATGTGTATATATATACACACACACACAACACAGATCCAACAAGAGGAAAAGATGGAAAAAGAGAACAAAAAGAAGTAACAAATTAAAGGCGTAGAATGTTGACTCATTCTTTAGCCGCCCAAGATATCCCTTGCATTAAGTTTCCATCATATCATAATTTTACTTCTTTGTTTAGTGGCTGGTTCTACATATGCACTTTTACCATTTTAGATTTCCTCTTGTTGTATCTTTTGTTTGTTATCCTAATGAAGCTTTAGATTAGCGAATGATATTGGCACTTACCATTAAGTTTTTGCAGTCTATAAGCAATTTCATTGTCTAAATATTTGTTTTGTTTTTATTTTTTTTATCTGACTGTTTCATTTTTACTTATAACCAAATGTATCATTGTAGGAAATTAATGCAATCTTGGGCGAGCAATTATCTGCAGAAGATGAAGAAGAGGTTTTAGCAGAATTTGAAAACTTAGAAACTCAGGTTTGTGTATATTATTATTATTATTTTTTTATTTTTTTTTTTTTTTTATCGCAGGGTTATTTAGTTGTATGGTTATTTTAGCTTTTGCTTGTTCCAAGTATTCCGTCTGACGTGCAACTTGTTGCCTCCAAGTATCTTCCAGTTATTTTGTTAATGGCTGTTTCATGTTATGCCGTTTGCTGTTCAGCCTTTAAAACATGGTGCCCAAGACCAATCATAGCCTCGTTCGTTTCGCTCGTTCAAGTTGAGAGCTTAAGTTAAAAAGTAAATTTATGTGAGAGAAAACATAGTAACAGAAAAGGTTGAATTTAAATTTTTGTGAGAGAAAGCACTATAGCAAAAACTTGATTTGTGATTCGAACTAGCGAAACAAACAGGGCCTATGTTTTGTTAAACATGTAGTGGGGTCCACATTAAGCCACTAGTGTTTCGTTGAATCTATAACTTAACCCTTTTTTCCCCACTTGGGATAAAAATGGATCTTTATATAGGCTGTATTAAGAACTTTTTTGTAATCGAATTTTACTGTTTCCATCTCCATGAGATGACTTCTCAAATAGAGAAGAAAGTTCCCTCAAAATGGACTCTTGGCTGGTGAGTTTGAGTAAAAAATTCTCTGAACTAGTTTGTTTAGTAGCTTTAGCTATTGTTGTCTGGCACGCTATATGCTGCTAGTTTCCTCGAGTAGATTAGTAAAGGAAATCGGATGTAGTTTATTTATTTATTTTTTAATATCTAAACTCACTTCATATTTTTCAGATCTCCATTCAAGATATGCCTGATGTTCCTGCAACAGTGCCATCTGCTGAGGAGAAATTGGACCTTCCTGATTTACCGACTAAACCACCAATTGTCGCCGAGGCTTCTGCAGATGATGCTGAAGTTGCTCCAGCTGAAGCTTCCTCAAAGAGAAAAGGTCTCTCTCTCTCTCTCTCTCACACACACACACACACACACACAATACGCAGCACATTCGTACAGAACACCATTTAAGGCCTTCAAACAATTGACAAATTTATCCGGAAACGCAGTGTTGGAAGAGCCATTGCCGGCATGATTGGGGAGATCAGTTAAACGTTCACGTCCTTTCTAATCCGTTCGAGCTGTTTGGAAGCTTTGATGGATTAGTCACTGGCCTGCAAGAACGTGTGCTATGCTATTCTTCGGTTTGGACTTTGTAAATCTTGGTTGGTTTTAAACAAAAGATTCTCACATTGGATTGTACAGAGGTGTAGTTTCTCAATAAACGTAATTTGCAATTCTCTCCCGCAAACCTATGGAGCCTCTTGACATTTCTTAGCTATCATAATACTCGAGTCATTATCAAAAGCCTCAAACTAGGCTCAACTATCAAATGTATGGATCTTTGAAGGGTATTAAGGAAATTATCATATAATCAAAATTTGCAGTTCTAAAACAGCAATTATAAAATGGGGCAACACAATCTTATTCTTACCGCATAAAATTAATCAAAGTAAGTGATCCCTCTTTCTGTCCCATTCCTTTCCTCCCCATAGAGTTTGTTGGACTTGAATGGAGCCATAATGCTCCTTTCATATACTCTTTTCGAGGAGTCCTTGTCTGTGGCATTCCAATTTCGGTTCAGTTCTATTTCGATATAAATGCTATTTGACACAAGAAAAAGTGTAAAAATGGCATTTTGTGTTTTTACGTATAATATTATTTCAAATGTTATAATTAATTTTACATTGGGAGAATGAGTAAAATAGCATAATTAGTAGAGTGATTAATAAATTATAGCACATTTTTTTAAAAATAGTAAATTATAACATAATTGGATATTTTAAGTTTTAAATATAATTAAAAATTGAAAAACATCCCTAAGTTTCTTTTCCACCTCTCTCTTCTTCTCTCTATACTCAAGTTTGCCATGGCCGGCACTTGCCGACAATCGGCAACCGGTGATTGTTTTTTTGCATCCGATTCTTTTTCGGCGATTGTTTAACACTATATTTACTGGTAAATATTGTATTTATTAGTAAATATTGTATTTATTTGAAAATTCAGCCACTTACTTCGGTGATTGTCTAACACTATATTTAACGGTAAATACTGCATTTACCAATAAATACCGTATTTACTAGTAAGTATTATATTTATTTAAAAATCCAATCATCAACTCTGGTGACCATTTAACATTGTATTTATTTGTAAATACCGTATTTAATAGTAAATATCATATTTATTCAAAAATTCGGCCACTGACTCCGGCGACCGTTTAACACTGTATTTACTGATAAATACCGTATTCACTAATATATATCATATTTATCTGAAACCCAGCCACCGACCCTGACGACCATTACACACTGTATTTACGATAAATGTCGTATTTACCGGTAAATATCACCAATTTCAAATTATAACTACTAAAGTATTTATAGGTAAATACAGTATTTACCATATTTAAATTTGTAGTTATTAAGTATTTATTAGTAGATACAGTATTTATCATATTCAAAATCATAATTACTAAAGTATTTACCAAATTTAAACTTATTAAAGTATTTACATGTAAATAGGTACTTACCAACATTTAAAATTTTAATTAGTAAAGTATTTACGGGAATATAATGAAAAATTAAAATATGCTATAACGTACAATGTTTTAAAGAATATAATATTTACTTCAAAAGCATATTCAAAATATGCTATTTATTATATTTTCCTTTTTACATTTTGAAATTGTAAAAATAAACTAAAAATTAAAAAATGACAATGTTGTAATTATTAATTTAATTGTCAGCACGTTGCCTAACAACAGTCAAATATCAATATTTGGCATATGTTATACAAGAACAAATTTCGTATCGATACTCGATAAATGACTTGGTGAGGAGTACTCTTGAATGGCTGCCAATTAGATTAATATAAGCTACTAATTAATCTTTAACGAGAATATTAATTATCAAACGTGTAGAAAAATAACACTCTAAATTCATATAAATTATTACAATAAACATAAGCTACACAAAACATAAGCATACATGTTTCTTACCATCAGTGGCGGAGCCACTTGAAAATGAGCGGGGGCAGCCGCCCCCACTTAAATTTTTTTGAAAAAAAAATATTATCTTTAAAAAATTTTAAATTTTACACTTAATCACTCACTAAAATAATATATGCTAGGGCCGGCAATTTCAGACACGACACGATGAAACGATACGAAAACGACACGAGATAAATGAGTTTAGACCGCACGATTATTAATTGAGTCATTAACGGGCTGTCACGAATAACACGAAAATAAATGACCTGGATTCGTGTCAGCCCGTTTAACACGCTTAACCCGTTTAGTTATACGGGCCGACACGGCCCGTCCCGTTTATTAAGCCCATATATATATATATATATATATATATTAGTTTTTAGAGCATAGTTGGGCATTCAACCTTAAGGCTCAAAGAAGACATTTTCTTATATTTATTTTATGTTTTACGCACTTAAACATTCAAATGTTTGGTTATGTTTTCAAACTTATTTAAATGTACTTGGTTATATTTTCAAAGATGTTTGGTAATTGGAATGTTTTGAAACATATATACTTGATAATCTTGTAGTATCATATATATGTGTGTGTTTGATATTTGGATATTTTAATGTGTTGGCTATTGTGATTTTAACTATAAGTGATATTAAGTAGTCAATTAATATAGTTTTGAATACAATATAAAATTCCACTATTTTTAGTAGTTGGGTCATAAACGTGTTTTTTTCGTGTCGGCCCGTCACGGCACGTTTAGTAATCGTGTTCGCGTGTCATGTCGTGTTAACCGTGTTATTAGCGTTTCGTGTTCGTGTTTGGGTTTCTGACACATTTATTAATCATGTCGTGTTCGTGTTCACTATAATCATGTCGTGCCAGCCCGAACACGACACGCAAACACGAATTGCCAGCCCTAATATATGCCATCATTAAAATAATATATGTCTCCACTAAAATAAATATATTTTCTTATATGCCCCTACTAAGATAAGTTGTTAAAAAAAATTTAGTATACGCCCCCACTGAAATGAAAAGATGGCTCCGCCACTGCTTACAACAACAAGACAATGTATAAATAAACTAGATGTTATTGGTAAAATATTTTTGTGAAATTGTTTTACGGTAAAAGACCTTGCTTAACCTTCACCATGCAATAATCCATTTTCTCATCATAATAATCATAAAACATAGTGGCCAACTCCTCTGTGTGGCTATTTCTTCTATGTTTAAATCTCACAAACAGATTCTTGCACTCTTTTTTTACCTTCTCCTTTTTATATTCTCTCAGTTTTTCCTTGCAAGCTTATGATCATCAGGTCACAAACTTATGATCACTTTGAATATTTTGATGAGACAGAGGTATAAAAGGAGGAGAATTGGTTTGCACAATGGCTAGAAGAATAAACACAATTGACATGGTTATAACCATGTTGAAGCACCTCCTAGATTCAATATTCATAGCAAACCCTTCTCTTTATTTTTTTATTTTTATTTTTTGCCTTTTTTCCTCTATTTTTTGTTTATTCAATGAACTACTACTCAACTGAATGTTTATGATAATTTTGTTACACTTAAACAAGGTCATACATTTTAAATTCAGATCCTGACTATTAATGGTCTTTTAACGCAGCTAAATAGAGGTTTGACTGTTGCATATTGATAAGTGGAGACTCCTAGTGCCCATAAAAGGCTGTGTATGTTCAATTTTGACTTTACTTGTACTTTATGTAGAAAATTAGTAACTGGCTATAAAAGACACTGTATATTCATATAATTTGTACTTAATTTTGGTTAAACCTTTATTTAAAGTATCATACGTAGAAAATTAGTAGCAACAAAGGGCAATATTATTCGTTGTTTAATGTTTGGGTTAAACCTTTGTTAAGGGGGAAGTGTATAATAATTATTGGATTGGCTTAAAAAAAAAAAAAAAAAAAAAAAAAAAAAAAAAAAAAAAAACTACTTTTGACTTATTTGATCTAACTACTGTTTTGAGTTTTTTTGATCTAATGTGCTTTGTGGTTTTTATAAACTCTTTCAGAATAAATCACTTTCTTAATACTAATTATGAGAAAAAAAAAACTTATAACAAGTATTTTCATTTAATTTTTAACATTTTATTTGTGAAGAACAAATTAAAAATTCTATTCATATATTGGTATTACATTACTTTTTGTTACGACAAGTGCTTTTGACTTATTTGCCTAAATAGGTTCAAAAGCATTTTTGAGATAAACAAATTCTTTCGTGCACTGTCCAAATACTAATTAAAAAGCCTTGGCTTATACTTCTATTGTTATGCTTAAAAATAGGGATGAATTCTACAAATAGTCTTTGGGGTTTAGTGTCAATCTCACTTTGGTCCATAAATTTTAAAATGTCTCATAGTTTCGGTTCTTCCATTACCTATGTGGTAAAATTTGACTGAATCAGTGTAAATTAAGGATTAAAATTGAAAATAATTAAAATTTAGGGACTATCTTTGAAAATTCTTTGGTTTTTTTCTATGTTTTAGTCCTTAAACTTTAGATGTTTCTAATTTCGGTCCCTAATTTTCACAGATTTTGTCAAATATTTAATACCTAACTAACGGAAAGATCGAAACTGAAGCAAAATAAAACCTCAGAGACGAATTGTGGGACGTTTTAAAAGTCAGAGATTAGAGTAAGATGGAAGGTAAATCTCAGGAACTGTTTATGAGATTAATCCTCAAAATAAAAGCACAAATGATTTCAAATGGACCCTTTCTCCCCATTTTTGTGCACTCTGTGGCGAGGTTTTTTGATAGAGGTAAAAGACTAATTGCGAGTACGACATACGACAAGACCCCAGTTAGACGTTTCCACTTTCCATTTAGTTCAAATTAGTTTTTGTTATTGTATTTCAAGGTTAGATGAGATAAAAAAAAAATAAAAAATAAAAAGTTGTAAAGAAGTAAAAAAAAAAAAAAAGTGTCTTCACAAGCTAAACTTCAAGCCTGTCCAAGTCCATATCTCAGAGTACAACAGACTTAGAAACAGTAATAAATCACAAGGCATCTTCCTTAGCATGTTCATTCATATATCTCGAACTATTATTTGAACTTACGAAACAAATGCATGGATAGAAATTTATTTGTGGATACATGAATTGTGCATCTTCCTTAGCATGATGTATACTTGGTTCGGCAAGGGTGAGCTAGCGCTAATGCATTACCACTGTGTCGGGTATATAGTCAAAAGTTTTTAAGTTTTTTTTTTTATTTTTTTTTTATTTTTAAGGATCTCAAGTACGAGAGCCTAGTACTCATTTTAGAGTGCCTATAACAACTACTTTAATTATTGATTGAATAAAAAAGAATGCAAAATTGTTCTTCGAACTTGCTCAATTAGGCATATCACATCATGCATGCATAAGAACAAACGATTGGATTGTAGTGTCAATATGTTGACAGCAAACGGCTTTATTGGGTAAAGATGTCTTAAACATATATAAAAGAGGAGATTTCAAATAAAAAAACTGATTATAAAAACTCCATTTGTTGGTGTTATATAATAATACAAATTAATGCATATATTACTTTAAAACATCGTAACTTAAACATCATATTCCTTACATATATAATTTTGACTAATTAAAAAGTATTTAACTAGGCTCTTCACTATATCATAAAGTTTTTATTCGATAGTCAAATTCAACATTGTTTTTTAATATTAATTATTTTTCAAAAATTTTATTAAAATGAAAAAAAAAAAAATTGAAGGAATGAGGGATATAAAATGCAATCTAGCTTGAACTTCCGGTAAAAGATAGAGGGAGAGAGCCGCTTTTGAGAATATGAGAAGCATCATCACAGTTACTATGGTTGTGTCGAGTATTCTTTTTTTTTTTTTTTTTTAAATCCTTATCATTATCCTTTCTCTTTAGCATTTATGTGTTTTTCCAACAAGGAAAATAAATTATCACAGCCATTGATAAGTGACGTAAGATTATTGGTAGAAGAGTGCAAAAAGAAAGCTTACGAAGAATGCAAAGCGAATGTGACGAAAAATCTAAGGAAATTCAATAAGTTATTTCGTCATTGTTGGTCAGAAAATTTTATAGGATGCATCAAGACCATCAAACTACCACAACCTCCTCATACATGAAGTAATTATATAAAATGTCTATTTTACAACAACAACAACAAAAATGTTTACTATTTCATATATTACAATTCTGTATTTTTTTCTTTAAAAAAAGTGAACTAAATTCTATTATAAACTTGGAAGAAGATAAATTTAAGAAAATATGGTTGCGTGGAAAATTTAGTTCAAAACGTGGGTTTAATAACACCCCCTAAAAAAGATTTCTGTTTCACTGGTCTCAAACTAAGCTCCTCGGCTTCACCTATCAGCATCACTACTTAGATCTTGTAAGTCTTATAATGGAATACTTTTTTCTTTGTGGAAAACTGCAAAGGTCCTACAATGATCAGTATGCTATTAAGGTTTTAAACCCAAACTTCAGAATTTTCTGGACTTCATTTATGTGGAGTTTGTAATGGACAATAGAACTTATCATCACAAAGAGGGTAGTGAAGGTTTATGACCACCCCAATTTGTTCTCCCTTTTTGAGTCATTAGCTCATTGCAAAACTTTTTTTTATTATTTTTAGACAACACTGGGATCGAAATCGCAACTTTCCTATCAAACTCCCACTCCACTAGACCACGCAGTTTGAGGCAGTGCGAAAGTTAATAATACAAGATAATCAAACGTCCTTTTAAAAAAACAAAAAAAAAGTTAGGAAAAAAAGTTGGGCGAAAGTTGCCCGTTTTGCGACTCTTTTTCCCATTCATTCTCCCTTGAATACTTACTCCATTGTAGAAAAATCAGTTTAGCAATTAGTTATTCAACTCAATAGCTAAACCACAACTATCGACGGTGCCTTCTCTTTTTTCTATTTACAAGCGTTTGAACAGAGAAATTCACTAAAATAGGCTCACTACTCTAGCTACACAAGCAACACAAGAATCAAACAGAAACTTACAAGAGATATCAATAGGAGCTGGATCGGTGCTACAAATTTCTGGCCACAACCATAGGTTGGGAGAACAATTGGCACCAAATGAATTTATTGTATTTATGAGCTGCTGTTTTGAATGGCTTGTGATGAGCACCGTTCCTCGGCGGCAGATGCATTCTGGATCTTCCTCAGAGAACGATATTGAAGCCGGACATTTTCTCCACTTTCAATAATCTTAAGCAAATACCTAAAGGGAACACGAGGGACACATTAATAAAGGTATCGAAAGGAGACGGTTTCGGGGCAGGTTTGCAGTACAAAATGAAACTAAGTTATTGCATTAAGGTCAAAAACAGCCTTCATATTAAGATTCTTTCGAAACTGGGCATAAAATGCAGACCATATTAAGTACAAGCACAAAAAAAAAAAAAAAAAAAAAAAAAGGTTCAATCCCCCCAACACACCAGCCATTGAGACATTGGGATGTGATGACAGCTTCTTTGCCCACAAATTTTTCTGGTGTCCTCCTGTTTCCCTGCAGAATTAATTCAACACCCCGATTTTAATGAAATAAACAGATATCAACAATACAATCTTAACAAACAGTAGAGAGATCTTTGTAAATACGTCTGAAGAAAGATTTTAATACATGAAATTAGATCAATTTATTGTTTTATTGATATTGCAAAAGCAAAAGTTTAGATTAGTAGGCAACCAATCTCTTTCAATAAGCAAGAAAATTTGGATTATTCCTCTCTTGTTTTGTGTTGTTTTGCTGGTATGGTAGAACTCTAGTCTTCCATCCTCTTTTATGATCCCTTGGCCCCTTTTCCTCTACAATTTTTTTTCCTCTCTTATTAAAATAAACGCAACAGAATTACCTTAATTATGACTTTTTCATTTACAGAAAATGGATACTGCACACCACGATTGAGCCCATCGTCACCTACATCACCATTTTCCTGGAAACAAGTTACGCTATCAGATTAAGAACAGAAGATACAACTGAAGACAAAATGACTTGCGCTTCCATACAAATGCACACACACACAAAAGACACTAGGCCAACTCTAAAATTGTTCATGTGAAACAAACAATATCATCAATTAAATTTGTTTAAAGAATTCTGTATTATCTTACTCACTGGGCATTAAATATCCACAATCAACACCAATTGAGTACTCTCGGCTGAAGCAAAAAACCCTCTAAATTAGTCAGACATAGGACAGGCATACCAATAAACCAATTTTTTTTTTTTTCCTTAATGAAGAGTGAATAAACTGACATTGTTGCACCTTGTTTCTGTAGACTAAAGTTGGTCTACAAACATTTTGTCAACACTAGAAGCACAGATGGACTCTCAAAAGGATGTTATTAAGGAGATGCAGATTCTGTATATCGTGCATCAATCCACCCGACTCTTAAGTTCTAAAGCAACTGAACTCTCACTAGAGAATTCTTTATGTGGAAACCCAAAAATGTTTTTTGTTTATCATTTTTTTCAACCACTCTGCGAACATCACTCATCATCTTCCCATTTTCTTCTTCCGTTCAGTCCAATACAAAAATGAGCTTTAGGAATAGTAGTACTGACTCTGGGTGTGAATTTTTAATTTTCAAATGTACTGGCCAATCAAATATGCAAGTATCTAGTAAGTACCCTGTTTGGTCTCCTCAGTGAATCTATTTGGTCGCCCAACTCTTTCCGACGCTTTCTAAGAGCAGCATTATGGAAAAGCCTCCAATTGTCCTCTTGTTTCACAGCTGCAGCAGCAGTTCTTAGAGCTGTCGAGGAGATTGCAATACGTTATAGAATAAAAACACATGACAAAGAAGGTATTGCCACAAATGAACAATACCAGCAGAGAATTAGTACGAGGAAAAACAGGGAGGGGGAGAGAGAGAGGCAGATAACAAAAATACTTAGAGTTGGAACGTTAAGAAAACTCTAAGATGAAAAATGGGACATACCAATATTAGGAATCAATGACCCAGCATCAATTTCTTGGCTGCAGAGGGTACATCTGGACTGATCAGCAAACCAACAATTGCAGTTATGACTCATATCTTATCCATCTAGAGGCAATAAAAACATCACACAAAGGTAATTAAGAGGGCATGATAGGTTTTAAGAATCACAAACAATGAAGGACAAGAAACGTGAAGCAGTGTTTCTATTTTATTTATTCTAAATGAAAGACTTAAAGGGATAAGTTCAATTAAGACACAAAGAAGAACGACTTAACAGGATGCATAAAGAAAAATACTAATAAAAGAAAACAAAGAACCAGATGTCAAACTATTGGTACTTAAAAATCCTAAAGGTTTGATAAAATAGATGTAGGCCTTATATATTATATTTTACGATGTTGAAGGCCTAAGGTTGATGCAATCTGTGTCATCAAGCAAATTTACCTGTTTTACGTATGTTTTCAAGATCCAGAACTCTGTTCCACAAAGCAAAACATTTTGTGAATCACATAGATCAGATTGATTTCAAAGACCATCTAACAGCTTGGGATTTGGGGCATCACGACATCAGGATGAGAATTTAGAATTTTTCAGGAAAGTAGTAATGGAGGCCTTACTGTTGTCTGTTCAGTTTTTCCTTTTTCTGTTTGTATGTTCATTAAGTGTATATTCTCGTTGAGGGCATACAAGTCAGATATTAATCCAGTTTCCAGATGTTGTTGAAGAAATTATTTATGAGTGAGTTATGCTGGACATGGAAAAATAATGTTCTTGAAAAAAGAGGAATTGAGGATCATTCTTTTAAGGTTCATTTTCTTTGCTTCTTCTCTCAAAAGCTTAAACAGAAGTTACAGAACAAAACACGCTGAACTCAGACTACTTTCTTTCTTTCTTTCTTTCTTTCTTTCTGGCTAAAAGACTCAAACTGCAGTTACTTTTTTTTTTTTTTTTTTCGGGTCGAAACGCGGATTGCATTTACTAACAATAAAGCAATCATAAAAATGCTTTAAAATTCCTTCAAATAGTAGGAGAGAAGCTACTTACCATTTCAATAACTCTCCTCAACATGATACCACCAAATGAATGCCCACATGAAACAAACATAGCATCTTCAAGGAATGCACCCCTGAAAGAGGCAGAGACAGATAAATAATTAAATAAATGAAATAAAATAAATTTCAGTTCGAATAAACATTTAATGCAAAATATTAATTCCTAAGAACCAAGCAACTCTATCCCAAAAAAAAAAAGGATCAAATTGGAAAGAAAATAAATACAAATGCTGCAACTTTAAAGCTTTTTGACAATGTTGAATATTCCAGAACCAATGCGGTTGTCAAGTATTTTTTGAGAGATTTTGTTTTGTGTAATGTGTCCTAGTTTATTCCTTTGTATTATTTCTCTGTTTTTTTTTTTTTTTTTAATTTGGCCTTCTGAGGGCTGCTTGTCCTCTTTCCTCTGTACTTGATATCATTATCAAAAAAATAAAGTTTTCTTACAAAAGAAAAGGAAAAAAAAAAAGGATGGCTGAACCATCCATGTAAGAAAAATATCACCATGGGAGTGCAACCGTTGGAAATTGAGAAAGGTAGAAAACTAGCTAGGAAAAGAAGGATAAGGAACAACTCACGATAATGGATCTGAGAGAACACTTCTTAATGATGGCTCTGTATTCAAATTGTTCCGAGCCACCTGCAAAATAGGGAAACAGGATAACGTGAAATGTGATTCAAATAGAATAAAACAAAGAAGGGCACGTGTTCTCTCAAAGAAAATTATGGATGAAAATGAAAACATCAGATTTATTGTTTATTCATATTGTCATTTACTTTTTTTTTTTTTTTTTTTGGTGTGGAACAAAGTCATTTTTCATGTATGACATGATCTCGTTTCTTCTTTTTTTTTTTTTGCCCTTACACCTATAGCCACATTCGTCTAGTAGCCAGCTATCCGCATACAAGTAAATATATGTTTGCATATCACATTTTTAAAAATTTAGTAGCTTTAGAGTGTGGTTTTTTCGTTTTTCTGAGGAAATCTTTTCCTCTTATCCTTTTGTATTCTTCTATATATTTATTATTAAGAGTTATCGTTTCTATTCCCAAAAAAACAAAACAAAAAAACTCGAACATAGACTTAGAAACACAAATATAGTAAAGTAATAAGTATGATTCATCACTTTAAGATGCAACTTACATAGTTATTATCAGAACGACTACAAAATACATCTTCCTCAGCAGAAAGGCCGTCCATAAACTGGCTGACAGGTATTGGCACGTAGCTTTGTGGAATGACATGACCAGCTGCAGAAATTGGAGAGCAATCTAATGTAGCATTCCCCTGTGGCATAAGCCTAAATGCAAGTGATGTCCTACAATCACAAAACCGGACAAGGTAAATCAAATAAACTTGGAAAAAGAACCATAATGGTTTAGACAAGTTGCATTAAACTCATTGAAAGAATGAACCCAAACAAGTAATTATACCTCCCACCGCCATTAGTGCCTGAGTATTCAGATGCAGCTCTATATGATGCAGCCGGACGAAGGCCAGCAGTCGTATGGCTAAGTGCCTTCCCTGTAAGAAGTAAAAGATCCCCAGGACTTAACCCACTGTCTGCTAGGTACCAGCGACCATTTGGGTCAACGACCTGAAACATAGAATGAAAAAGTAATGTAATTTGATGTAGACATCAGTCAGAGCATCCTTTTATCCACCAAGGAATCAAATCAAGCATTAAAAGAAAGCTACACCATCATTTACTATTTTATGAAAAAAAAGAAAAAGGCCCCGGCTTTTATATTTGGAAAAACCAAGGACATATATGATAAAACTTGTTATCAAATATCAAGAACTAGAAAGGCACCTGAAGACCAGGACTGTCCGAGGATATTAAAGTCAACAACCCCTTTTCGACTTCACCATTTATTCCTGGCTTCCCTCCTCCAAGGCCACTTTTTCCATTTTGCATGGAAGCATTTGAGTAGGAGGCAACAAGCACCGATGAGGATACCTCATTAGCGGGTAATGGCATGTCGTCAAGTAGGTGATTGAAAACACTGCAAAACACACATTTTGCATAAGTAGATCCTATATAGATTCGTGATTAGAAAAATAAGTATATAAATATAAAGCACGAAAAATAATGAATTTAAGATTCACCCATCACCATCCTTACTCGCTTCGCAAACGAAGATGCCTTGCTATTGCACAAAGAGCAGAATGAGATGCCTTACCCATGCATCTAAAAACATCAGCCATGCATGGAGGGCATGAGTCGCAATCTTCCAAAGCCCTGTAACAAGAGAAGCTCAACATCAGCATGTTGAGGTAGTATAACAAAAGGCTGAAACACAATTTCACCAGGTTGAGTATTCAAGATCATGCTCCTTTTTTCCCTTATAGAAAACAAAACTTTGTTGAAAAGATAAACAAAAGACGAGTAGAGATAGTCCTCAAAAGAAGACAACAAATAAAAAAACGCTTCCTGACCAAGAAAAACTAAAGACAAAGGAACATCCCCAAAATCTGTTAAAACTTCTAGAGATCCATAAAAAGACCCAAAATTTAACCCTATTACAAAGACAATATCATCTTCAAACACATCTTTAAAGATTTCCAACCCAAACACAGAGCCAAGAAAGAAACGTTCCAATTCCAAGCCTATTACAAAGACAATATCATCTTCAAACACATCTTTAAAGATTTCCAAACCAAACAACCCAAACACAGAGCCAAGAAAGAAACGTTCCAATTCCAAACAGTCATCTTCATGGGGGCGGCTCCATAACGTGAAATTCAAATCATTATCCTCCAGAACTAAATTCAATCAAGTGTTTCATGGGGGAAAAATCAATCAAATGTCAAATTTAATTGGTTTGGGCAGCAGCAGAAGAGCAAGTAGCCGGTTATTACTTATTCCTTTCTCCTTTTTTTGCGTCATTGAATCAAAAAGGTAAAAGAAATTGTTAATAAATAATTCTTGTATTGGATGTCGAATGCAATTGAGAGACCTCATTCATCTCATCCTACCATGTATTACCAAGAACATCAAACGTGAAGCAGCGATTGCTTCAATTAATTACAGCTGTTCCCAGCCAGAAACTGAAGACTCTGCCTGGTAAACCTATATGTTTCCTTTTATCCTAACAAGAACCTAATAGCAGGAGCACACACAAAAAATAGAAGTACAACTAATAATCAGCTGTTGAGTTAACTTTTTCTTTGAACATTGGGTCTTCAAAGCCATTTGGTAAAGAATAATAACCGAGCACTTCAATCAAGAACTCAGTATGTAAACTGAACCATTGTGACCTCCTTGTTGCTGAATACTGAAAAGATCCTTTTTGGCACACTTTTTCTTTAAAAATTGTGAAGTACCCACACTTGAAAATGCTCATCTACCAAATAGTTTTATTATATTCACTATTCAGCATTAGAATTTTCCCTATAAATATTCAGCACAAGTATTTCCACTCATCACTTATAACAACTTGGTTGTAAACTTCAAAAGCCTCACCCTTTAGTCTGTGTTCTGCAAGAGAAAAAAAAAATAGGGAGAAAAAAAGGTAATATATAGTATGTTTGTTTCGTGGGTTTGAACTACAGTTCAAACTTTTTTATTACAGCATTTTCTCTCACAAAAAATAAAAAATTTGAATTTACGTTCAAACTTTCTGTTCAAACCTATGAACTAAATGGGCCAATCGCCTAAGCGAGACTGAGGAAAATGGAGAGAAATGAAAGGATCTTTCCGTGTTTGGTATGGATTCCCTCCTCTAATTCCTCCGTGTTCAGAGTAATTACAATTAGAATTCTTGTATGGAGCTGAATCCCTCTCCCAATTCATTTTTTATCTTTTCCATGCTACCAAACAACCAAATGTCCCGATATCCTTCCACTAATCCCCTCACTCCTAGTTTCAGGAAGTAACAATTTCAAACCAAATTACACCATCCCAGTGAAACATCCAAGCAAGGTTTTCGAACCACAATAACTAAAACAATTCAAATACTAATAACACAAATAAAGAACCAACGAACCAAACCAAAATTCTCAAACAAAAAGAAAGGGAATTCTGTCAATACCTCCCAGCCCTATACATGTAGACCCCACGGCCGCCCTTCCCACCGGCACCACCCTGCTGAGCCGCCCCGCTCCTGAAATAAAACCGCGCCGCCTCCAACCCGCACCTCATCACTGCCGCAGCGTCGCTCCCCAGCTCGATCACCGCGGCGTTGTGCCGCATCAGCGAGCCCGACAGCGCGTCCACCGCCCTCAGGTAGGGCCCGGAGGGGGCCCCGTAGAACGGGGAGATATCGGAGAGGCGAACCCTCGGCAGTGGCGACGGCACGGGCTCCCCATTCGGGTGGGCCACCGCGATGGGCGGCGGCGGCGGCCCGACGGCATGGTCGGCCGAGCGAGCCGCGGCGGAGGAGGAGGAGAGAGGAGCGAGAGAGAGAGGGGTTGGGAGCTGGGTTTGGGTGGGGGTCGCCGTAGGGGATCTAACGGCGGTGGTTGCGGCGGAAGGGGGATTGATAGGGTGCGACGCGGGTGCAAAGGAAGCCTGCTGCTGCTGCTGCTGCGTAGAAATCATGGCAACCACGAATCATTCTGAAATGTTGAAAAGGTTTGCTTGGTTTTCGGAGTGAGACGAGAAAATTAGGATTGAAGGATTGTGGAGGTTTTCGTTCTGTTTGCTTGGTGGGAAAATGTTTTGCATGATCAAGACAAGACAGATATGGGGTTGTTGCTTATTAGGGTTTTCGTCTTTTTGAGAGAGGTAGGAAGACTGGACTGTTAAAAGTGGACAGCAAACCTTGAGATGCAACAATGGGCTGGTTCAGGTCCATCTTATACATTAATGGGCTGGGTTAGTACAATTCGTTATTGTTACTCAGCTCATAAATATTAATGGGTTGGGTTGAGTTAATATATCGGTCAATTAAATCGGCCCTACACAGTCTATAAAAATTATGGTCAGACTAAGGTAGGTCGGCCCAACCTGACCTGTTTATGTTCATAATGGGCCGGTTACTTATCTAGGCCCATAATATCTTCATGTTTTTTTTTCTTTTCTTTAATAATTTTATAAACATCTTATGTATAATTATCTTGATTGTATTCTTTTTTCTTTACTAAAGTTTTGTCCTACTAGATTTTCTTTAGAAAGGTTTTTATTTAATGAGGCAATCATAAATAAAATATCCATTTTCATATTTCTATTGACTATTCAAACTTTTAAATTTGTTGACTTGTTTAAAAATTCAAAAATAAAAAATTAAAATTGCATGCTTAGATGGGCTGGCTCATCTAAACCCATGATTGGCCAAAATGAGCCTTAAATGGGCTGGCTCATCCTAGCTCACGGCACGGCCCAGTCTAGCTCACGTAAAATTGACCCATGGTGTGGGCTGGGCCGAAGTAATTCTTATACGAGGCCGGCCCGACCTAACCCACGACCTGCATAGGCCTAAGGTGAATAGGTTGGCCCGGGCCCGCCCTTTCTTGCATCTCTAAGCAAACCAAAGGCTCCGTCACTGTTGAGAAATGCTGTGCCTGTTTTAGAACCGTAGAAGCAAAAAATAAAAATGAAAACGAAACAATATTTGTTTAGCAAATGTTTGAAAAATGAAAACAAAAAAAGTGGGAATAATTTTTGTGAAAAAATTAAAAAACCGTTAAAAATTATTTTCACTTTTCTGTTTTATTTTTTAGTACTTATTAATAATATTATAATATATTAATTAATAAACATGATCTTACTTTTTTATTATACTCAAAACAATCTCTTCAAAAACTAACCAAATACAATTTTAAAATCGGTCCTAAAATGATTCTTAAAACAATCTATTTTTTTACTTTTTATTAAAAATAAAATCATTTTAAAACTAATTCCAAACTCACCATTTCTTTCCCTCTCTCCCTTCTTTTTCCCCTTGAAAAAGTTTTTCTTTTTTTCTCCAATACAAAGATGATCCTATTCAAATGGTTAGATTTGATATTGAATTTACGATTTTGTATTTGTATTAGAGATTTTTTTTTTTCAAGTATTTGACCACGAATAAGGATTGCAATTTACCAATATTTTACTAAATGGGTTGAAACTATCCGCTAAAAAAGGTAACTAGTGTTACTGTCTCAAATTTTATTCAAAAACACTTAGAGCATGTTTATTTCACAATTCAAGTTGAGAACTTGAATTGTTTATATAAAAGAAAAAAATTATTGTAAAAAAATGATTTTAAATTTTTATGAGAGAAGACACTGTAATAAAAAAACTTGAATTGTGATTTGAGTTTTGAGTTTTGAAGAGAACAAGACATTGGTTTGTAGATTTGGCATACGGTACAAACTCGTGAGTGACGATGGAATTCTGTTTGTCAACAACACTGTCGAAGCAACTTTGTAAGAATACATAATCAAACATCAGAGACTCACACTATATTACACACACAAAAACAGTCACTCCTATCAACTAGCATTGTTAAGGACAGATGCCTAGCACTGTTTGGATTGGATTGCTAACACTGTTCTGACTTGCAATGAAAGGGTAGATGGCCTCAGAGTGAGGGGATAACAGTGTGGTGTCTACCAATGGCACTCTGACGCTTAAGTCATCTTACTGATTGGAAGCAATTAATGGAAAAGCTGAGTTTAAGTAGAGAGTTTATCCTTATCAAATGAGCTTGATATTTATAGAGTATTTTTGGAAGACACCAATACGACATTAGTGAAGACTTACGCAACTCCACCATCGGTGCTAAGCACTTATCCACACACAAACTTCATTTTCATGACCATCACGATAAGAAGAGCGAGATCCCAAGGTTGCAAGAACGTGGAAGATCCACTACATACAACATGATCCACAAAAAATCAGGCACCACCCATCCGTCCCCTCCACCCACAAAGTTGTCACCACCACCATGATCATTACCATGAGACCTAGAACTCGGTCTCTAGGTTTGGGAGTTCGGTGGCCAGTCAAGGGATAGCGTCGGACTCTAGTCTTAAAGGAGAGAAGAGAGCGCCTCACTAATAAAAGAAAGTAACCCTAGAGACTCTTTGGGGTGTAAATCGGCCGGGTAGGGTAGGGTTGAGCTGAAAAATTGAGCCTACCCGACTAGTGCGGGTTAAGAAAATTTTAGGCTGCGACACTCTCTTAAGTCTACAAACCCGCAACCTTTCGGGTGATCTCGGGTAGGGTCGGGTTACTCGGGTTAGTGATCTCAAGGACCACATGATCACTTTTTAGTCAATTAATCTGTGCTTGTTACAGAAGAAATCATTATCAAACAGAACATGTCTTTCCTTCAAGAGGGGGTCTAAATGCAAGGTGAATAATTAAACCACTCACTTTGAAATCAAACACTTCCAATATAAATAAAGAATGTCCTAATTCAACAACTATGGCATACAAGCATTTTTTTACACAAACCGTGAATCCAAAACATAAATAAGTTAACAGTTTAAATGCATAAAATCCATAAACTTATGAAAGTAAGAATTTGAAGTGTTGGACATTATTTTACCTACTTTGAACATGTTCAGCCGAGTAGGGTTACCTAGGGTTCATATAACCCCACCCCGCGCCCCTACCCGCGCAGTGCGTGTTAGGCATAATTAAAACCGAAAATTAAATAAAAAATTAGAAACCCGTGATTTTCGAGTAAGGTCGGCTCGGCTCGGCCGGGTTCGTCGAGTTCGGGATGATTTCTTACAGCTCTAGTAGAGAGTTTGTTGGTTGTTAATTTTTTTTAATTTGAGCATTAGAGACAGAGTAGAAGTTACTAGTCAAACTTTTAAAAATAAAAAAAAAAAGTTACTAGTGCTGTTAATTTTTTTTTTAAAAAATCGTAAATAAATTTTGATTAATTAATCATTGATTTATTAACGTATGTCTTTTCCGTTGCAATCCACTTCCATCACAAGACACCACGTTAAGTGTGCAGAGCTGGTGACCTCCTTTTCGGGAGTAATTAGTTGGAAGGACGAATCTGCTACACATATTCTCTTGCACAAACCTACATTTTACACAACAACTTTAGAAACGAAAAAGATTAAAAAAAAAAAAATGCCGACCTCTTTCTGACCACAATAACTTTTCAATTTCCTTCTTGTTGAAAAGTCTGCTCTTCATTTTCTTTGGTTCCAAGTACCACAACAATCAGTTTACAACGCTCGTTTGGTTGCCATGTTTATGCAAAATAAAAACAGAAAAGAAGCTTGATTATAGGAGATTGATCGTAGATTTTTCTCCTATAAAACCATGTGCAGACCCTATCGTAAGTTCGATCTTTGCGGGTGCCCCCTGACTTGTATACGTGCTTCTTGAAGTAGATTCGTAAAAAGAAGTCTTTTATCTATCTATATTTATAGAAGCCACCACAAGCATCCCATTATCATTTCAAATCAGAAATCAAATTGGTACCTATCCAACCAAATATTAATCAAACCCTTTATGGATCCCTGCGAAATAGAGTTTCCATCGGTGAATGCAAGCCATATAATATATCAACCTTTCCAAATCTTCTAAGCTTAGCAAATTTAGATTCCTTTCGACTGTCACAACTTACTCAGTGAGTTATGTGAACTAGTATGCAAAAGTTGCCATTCATCCTAAAGAGCCTTTGGCCTTTCATTATCTACCATGCAAATGTATTTATTCGCAAAAGAAATCAACATTCCAGAGAAGATCCGTTTTACTTGCTAAAACCCTGATGAAACACAGTTGAAATCCAAATAATATAATAGATTTCAACATACAAATATAGCTAGAGTAAATAAAAGAACAAAAGGAGGCACCGTTAAAAATAAATAAATAAATAAAAATAAAAAACTTGTGTTGTACTTGTCAGCGTGGGTGAGAGTGAAGATGGATTGCGAGTCAATTTATCTCGCAATTAATCTCGCCAGGCTTTTCTGTTCACTCGCATTCAGTTAGCAATATGAATAACTCTTCATCAGTTATTGCTCCCATCTCCATTGCTCTTTCCAGTGAACTTAGGCCGCCTCCATCTTTGATCGACGGACGTGCACCTCTGCAGAAATAGAAGTCAGTCATCTCCATTACTCAGACATGAATTCAAGCGTAATATAAGTTACTAGTAATTACCACTCCAAAAAAAAAAACAAACAAAGTGGGGATTCTTTAGCTTTTGTGATATGACCTAAAGTCTTTATACACACAAACAGTTATCCAATAAGGCTAAAATTTTGGAAAACCAATTTACAAGAAAATTGTTAAAATATACAAATGATTGCAAACTATACTCAAAATGAAAAATTGAGAAACCGTTGTCATTGTTTTCTTTTAATCAACTTCATAAAAGTACACTATCAAGAGGTTAAAAAACACCAATGAAAAATAAAATAAACAATTAAAGACAAGTTAGAAAAATAGAAGTACTTGATCAAAACTTTATGACTAAGAGTTACAAATACCAAATCCATCATGAGCAATTGAAAAAAGTCAAAGAATAAAAAACCTTGAAAATTTGACTTTAATGAAAGAAAGAGGGAGGAAGAAGCAAGTTGAAGAAGAAAAGTGTAAATTTTTCCCAGTTACTCTTTAAAACATTTTACTAAATAAAAGGTCGTATGAAATTCTAGGGATTTCTTTGAAAAAAAAAACACTTAAAGTAGAGCTAATTTGTCCCTGAAGGTGTAGAATATGTTGGACTACGTAGAACTTCAAAAGGAACATAACACTGTTTAAAGGATTATATAATCACCAAGTTCCTCGTCATGGCTACATTACCTTCTCAGTAGAAACTTTGCCAATGGGTTTTTCGCACTGGATATGCAATGGTGCAATGGAGTCCTTCCATGGAAGTCTCTCAAATTTATGTCAGTGCCAAACTGCAATAACAATTCAATCATCTGCAGATTTCCAGAGTGACATGCCAAGTGTAGTAGTGAGCAACCTTGAAGACAATTCCCTGGCTCATTGGAGTTCTTGATTCTATCACAGGATTCCGGATCGAAGTGTTTCCTTTCAATTGCACTTCGACCCGAAATGGACTCTTGTGCCTCAACATGGTGATGTAAATCAACATCAAACACATTGTCAAAGGTTGTATTGATGATATTCATGTCTGACAACACGATCAGCCGGTAGACTTCTTGCAAATTATTACTCTTAACTGCTTCCCAGATGCTTGTGGAACAAGCAGGCCTTTCAGTAACAGATTCATCTCTGATGACCAGTAATTTCTCTACATACTAGAACAACAAGAAGTAATTCTCATTAATCTTTCATAGATTTTTCTGCAGAATACAGCAGATGATAGTGAAGACCAATCTAATGAAAATCATAACAATCATTTGAATAGTCTTCAAGGTAACCCCCTATTTCACATTACTAGTATAAGTTTCAATTCAAAAATCGATTGACAACTAATTCATTTCCTACAGGATTAATGTATCCGCATGATGAATGTATAACACTCCCTCAACATACATTCTTGTCAAACAAACACTTGTAAAGACAAGATCGGACCAAGTCATTCATTCTTAATTTTGTAGTTAAATCTAATATTGTCAAGTTTGATTATAGTCGGTTATATTAGAGACTTGCTCGGTCTATGCTCGATAAGATGTTTAAGTGTTGATAGATGTAATTTTTATTATGTTTTCGACTTGGATATGAACTATCTTGGCAACAATGACAGCAACTTTTACCGATTCCATAATTGGATCGAATTTTATGCATAAGGTCACACAGAAAAAACATGTCGGGTTTTGTTTATGTGTGTGTGGAAATCGGTAGGTCAATTAAGAATACCTAGCTGTCAGTCTCACATTATAATCAGAGATAATAAGCCTCTTTTATATACAATTAGGTTACAATCAGTTAGAGAAAAAATAGGAAACTAACTCCTAATTTACATCTAGCTACAAATCAGCAACTAATCTACCATACAGAGATTACATATATTTCCGAAAATAGAATTTCCTAAATAGTAGGAAATAACACGTTTTTCAACACTCCCCCTCAAGTTGGAGCATGAATATCAATCATGTCCAACTTGGATAAATGTTCCTCGAACTTGACCCGTGGTAGACCTTTTGTTAGAAAATTAGCAAGTTGTCCTTTGGATGTGATGTAAGGTATACATACGAGCCCTTCTTCGACCTTCTCTCTGATAAAATGTCTATCCACTTCCACATGCTTAGTACGGTCATGGTGGATTGGATAGTGAGCAATACTGATTGCTGACTTGTTGTCACAATACAACATGGGATTCTCACTTTGAAGTGATAGCTCATTCATGGTTCTTTTTAACCATAGAAGTTCACATATTCCTTGTGCAAGAGCTCGAAGTTCGGCTTCAGCACTACTCCTTGCGACCATTGGTTGTTTTTTGCTTCTCCAAGTCACTAGATTGCCCTATATAAATGTGCAGTACCCAATGGTAGACCTTCTATCATTGGCTGATCCAGCCCAATCTGCGTCAGTAAATTCCTCGATCTTCCTTGAATCATTCTTTTTGAAAAACAACCCCTTTCCTAGGGTTCCTTTGAGATATCTCAGAATGCGATGAACTGCTCCAAGATGTTCTTCATATGGCTCGTGCATAAATTGGCTGACCACACTTACAGCATAAGCAATATCAGGCCGTGTATGGGATAGATAGATTAGACGCCCAACCTCTGGTATCTCCTTTTATCGACAGGCACCTCTCATTTCTTATATCCCAGCTTGTGGTTTTCTTCAATAGGTGTATTTGCTAGTTTACTCCCCAAAAAACCCGTCTCTCTGAGCAAATCAACAGTATATTTTCTTCGTGAAACATAAATTCCTTTCTTTGATTTGGCGACTTCCATACTGAGAAAATACCTCATGGGTCCAAGGTCCTTGATTTCAAACTCTTTGGCTAGAACCTGCTTCATTCTTTCTCCTTCAGTTGTGTCATCTCCAGTAAGAAGGATATCATCAACGTACACAATTAGAACTGAAATTTTCCCATCTTGAGATTTCCTGAAGAACAAAGTATGATCAGTGTGAGCTTGGGTGTATCCATATCTCTTCACCATTTTTGAAAACCGATCAAACCAGGCTCTTGGAGACTGTTTTAATCCATAGAGGGATTTTTTTAGTCTGCACACATTATCCATACCATAAACGTCTTCAAAACCTGGAAGAACATCCATAAAAACTTCTTCTGCCAAGTTCCCATTTAGGAATGCATTTTTGATGTCGAGTTAGGAAATTTTCCAGTCTAAGTTTGCAGCAACTAAGAGAAGGACTCGAATAGTGTTGAGTTTCGCTACCGGGGCAAAGGTTTCTTGATAGTCTATTCCGTAGGATTGTGTGAATCCTTTTGCAACCAAGCGAGCCTTATATCTTTCAACAGAACCATCCGAATTATACTTCACCGTAAACACCCATTTGCACCCAACTGTTTTCTTTCCCTTCGGTATTGCTACACACTCCCAAGTTCCATTTTTCTCTAGTGCTTTGATCTCCTCCATAACAGATGCTCTCCATTCTGGAACACTCAATGCCTCTTGAACTGACTTAGGAATCACTACACTGGACAGATTAGTGGCGAAAGCTTGATAGGATGGAGACAAATTACTAAAGCACATGTAGTCTGAAATGGGATGAGAAGTACATGTTCTTTTTTCCTTTTCTTAGGGCAATGGGAATATCTAAGTCCTGAACTGGTGTAGAATTACCTGGACTTTCGGAGGGGACATGATCGGCAGGAGGGTTCAGACTTGAAGTATCCAGAACTGGTGGATCCAATGACTGGGTCTGCCTTGGTGTGTGAATTCCTTCATTTCCCTTTCTTTTCCGTCTCTCATAGACAAATAATTCAGGACTTTGGACCTCTTTCCCAGTTTTTTCCGTGAGTGGAGTGGACTTGGAAGTGGACTCGGGTGCAGTGGGTAGTTCCTGAGGAAATGAAATAGAGTGATTTGGTGGAGGAATGGAAGCAGGTTGGGGACTTTTGGGCACTAAGGTGAGAGGGCTCACAGAGGTAGGAAGAGTATCCCAAAAATTATCCCAAGAAATCTCTTCTGTTTTCACACTCTCCCCCTAAAGAGAGTTTTTGGTAAAGTAGGGCTGATTCTCAAAGAAGGAAACATCTATACTAACAAACATTTTCCTAGTCTTTGGATCAAAGCACTTATACCCCTTTTTTGTTGGTGAGTAGCCTAAGAAAACACATTTGATGGCCCTTGGATCAAATTTACTCCTGCTATGGGAATGGATATGGACGAATGAGGTGCACCCAAATATCCTAAGTGGTAAATCTGAAATCAGACGATTTGTTGGATAGACACTTTGAAACATTTCTAGAGGAGTCTTGTACCCTAGAACTCGAGTGGGCATTCTATTGATGAGAAATGATGCGGTGAGGATAGCTTCTCCCCATAAGGTTTTAGGCACATTAGTGGTGAACATTAAGGACCTAGCAACTTCAAGTAGGTGCTGTTTTTAAGAGATATACCTAACATAGCCTAGTATGATCGTCGATGAAAGTAATAAACCATCTAGCACCTGAAAAATTTTTAACTCATGAGGGACCCCATATGTCACTGTGTATTACTGAGAATGGTGCTGAATGTTTGTATGTTTGAGAAATAATACACGGTGATGTTTGGAGAGTTGACAAATTTCACATTGAAAGGAAGTGGGGTCTTTATTATTGAAAAGAGATGGAAACAAATTTTTCAGATACGGAAAGCTGGGGTGGCCAAGTCTATAGTGCCACAACATAACATTATTCTCACATAAAGAAACAGAAAAAGATTTGCAGTCTAGATTTTGTCTACTTGAGTCTTCCTTGTCTAGGTAATAAAGTCCTCCACACTCTTTAGCATTGCCAATCATCTTCCCCGAAGCCAGTTCCTGAAATTGACATGAAGAAGAGCTAAACTTAGCAACACAATTGTGATCCTGGGTGAGTTTGCTAATGGATAAAAGGTTGCATGAAATAGAAGGAACATGAAGTACAGACTTTAGGACCAGATTTTTGGACAAAATGATTGAACCTTTTTCTGCTACTGTGGCTAACGAACCATCAGCAATTTTTACTTTCACGTTACCAACACAAGGAGAATAAGAGGAGAAGAGTGAGGAACAACCTGCCATATGATCTGAGGCACCAGAATCTATAACCCATGGGGTTCAGTCCTCAGTTAGCACACTGAAGGACTAAGGAAAATTACCTTTATGGGCAATCGAGGCAGATGGAAGAGAGGTAGAATTCAGGAGTTTCATAAGGTTTTCAAGTTGTTCCTTATTAAGGGAAACAGGAGCACTTTCTGGTATTGATTCCTCATAGGCCGTTTGAAGAGCTCTACTAGTCCCTTGGTCTGGTTGTCCGTTTTTCAGATGAGGGGGTTTTCCGTGCAGTTTCCAGCAAGTTTCACGGGTGTGTCCAGATTTTTTACAATGGTCGCACCAGGGTCTATTCCCCTTTTTATTTCGAGTGTCAATCCCACCATTAGAAAAGGTGGAGAACCTATTGCTTCTGACTGCAAGAGCGGATGATTCTGACTCAGTGACAGGAGCCTCTCGGGTCTCTCTTCCCAACATAACACTCCTTCTCCTTTCCTCCCTACGGACCTCGGAGAATACTTCACGAGTGGATGGCAGGACTTCACGTCCAAGAATTCTACCACGAACCTCATCAAGTTCGTTGTTCAAACCAAGCCAAGAATGCGAAAACATGATCCTTCTCAATCATCTTTTTGAATATGGCACTGTCTTGTGGACAGTGCCATTCATAGTCGTAAAATAAATCTAGCTCCTGCCATAAGGTTCTGAGCGTATTATAGTATTGCAACACACTCAGATTGCCTTGTTTCGTGTTGCGGATGCGTGTGGTAATTGTTGAGAATAGTGTCCTAGAAGCATGAGATGTAATAATATATTTATTATTTATTTAATAAAAGAGTTTATTCATCATTTTATGTGCATATATTTATGAATATTTTATAAATATCAAATAAAAATTCTGTGATTATTTATGTAACCTTAAACATGGTATATAAGTGTACGAGAGGATAATGTTTAAGGATAATAATCAAAAAGTGATGTTCGTAATAAATCTAATTAAAGTTCAGAATCTTTAATTAGAACATTACTAATATATTTCATTCCCATTTAGAATGGAACGGTGTTATCCACACTGTTAATATGGTGTGATATTGAATGAGTGTATTACGTATAATAAGATTATGTGGAACAAGGACACATACACAATATGATTTTCTAATAATTTCTGTTAAGTATAGAAATTCTAATTGAGT